CACTTCTTAAAACACATCATTGAATTCCCGTTTGCCCACGCTTTATGGGTCTGGCGGAGCCTACTTCCTCCTGCCCAGCTTTCGTGCCCGCAAGCTGCTGGAAGCTTCGTCTGGGGTCAGGCTTCCCCATCAAAATTTACTGCAAACGTCTTTTTTCAACACCTGTCTCAGTGAGCTGTGAAACACTCTCGCTTCTTCAAAAATGAAAAGAAAATGAAAATGTATGTTTTACATCTTTTATAAAAAAAATAAAGCATGCTTGTGTTTTAAGTCTGCATCTGTCTTTCTGGCAGAAGGAGGAGTGGGGTCTGTGCCCAGCCTAGGGCTCTGGGTGCTTCTTGCAGAGGGATGGAAGTGGGCCTGGGGTACAGGCCCCTGCAAGGAAGCTGGGGTGATGAACCCAGCTGGCCCATGGTCCTCCAAATGGAGAGGGATCATGGTTGGCTTTTGCTTCCCCTATAAATCTGGCCAGTGCATCATGGAACTCCTCCAGACAAACAACCTCGTCTGGAAACAAACAGTGCCTGGCATGCTGGCCCTTTGACGTGTGCACGCGGGGGCCTGGCACTGGCAGGGACAGGCTGACATGTCCCCAAGGTCAGCACCCTTGGTGGCAGAACCCGATGCTGTTTCCAGGAAGCACTGCCAACTTTTGTGGTGAGTGGGTGGCATGCAGACTGTGGTCACCAGCCAGGCCACCTTACAGGGGAGGACAGCCCCGCTCAGGTTCCTTTCACTCCATGTGATGGGGTGCACTTTTTTTTTTTTTTTTTGTGGTGCTGTGGTTTGAACTTAGGACCTACACCTTGAGCCACTCCATCAGCCTTTTTTTTTTTTTTTTTTTTTTTTTGTGATGGGAGTTTTCAAGATAGGGTCTTCTAAACTATTTGCCCAGAGCTGGCTTTGAACCTGAATCCTCCTGATCTCTGCCTCCTGAGTAGCTAGGATTACAGGCTTGAGCCACCGGCACCCAGCTTCTGCCTCTTCTCTAAAACAAGGTGGTGACATCTGCCAGGTGATGTCTGCTGCAGGGCCTGAGGTGTCCCTGGATACCTGGACCCGTTCCTCGGGGTGCTGGGCCTGTAACTCAGGCTTAAGGGGTGTCTTTGGTTATAATCACATAAGATGACCAATTTGGGTACTCAAATAATTTTAAAAGCTTCTCTACCGGAGCTGCCCTCCAGTTGTAAAAATAGGTTTGCCTTCCGAATTGTGTCACTTTGTTTTTTTTTTTTTTGGGACAAGATCTTGATGTGTAGCTCAGAATGGCTTCAAACTTGAAATCCTCCTGCCTCTGCCTTCTGAGTTCTGGGTTTACAGGCATTACCACCACACCTGGTTCCAGTTTGTATCTTGCTTTGTGTTCTTTTCTCTGGGTCTTAGTTCACTTGGGAAGGAGCAGGTGTGGGGGGTGTGCCACCTTTCTCGTGGGTCCTCAGGCCAGGCACTATGGAGGGCCTGCCTTGTTCCTCTTCTGGAGATGAGAGAACTGTACTGACTGAAGAGAAGTGGCCTGCTCCCCCCTTTTCTGGCCTTTCCCTTCCTCTGCACCCCAACTTCCAGTTATTTAGTACCCCCTTTCTCTATCAAATGCTCCCTCTTGCCTCAGGACTCTGTGTCCATCTGTCTGGGAGAGACCACTCTCATAGCAAACTCACCCTTGCTGTCTAGGTTTCAACTCATTCATTTACTGACACTTCCCACTGTGCTGGAGGTGGGAATCGGCTGATAAACAGGACAGGGTCCCTCACAGGACTTAGAGGCCAACAGACCAAGGTGGAGCAAGGAATACACTTAAACCAAGACAGGGATCCCCTAGCTCTGCATGAGGCAGAGAAGCGGGGAGGGGCAGTGAGGAGGAGGCTTGAAGAGTAGCATCCCAGGCAGGGGGTACAGCAGGTGCAAAGGTAGGAAACTACCTGGCTGTTTGAGGAGGTGGGTAGTTAGGAGGAGATTAGGGAGGGAAATGGGGGCTGAAACATGGGTCAGCTCTTACGCAGGTATTCCTAGGCACCCTGATCATCTGTGTGAGGTGGACTGCGATGGGGGTGCTGCTGGGAGATGGGAGCTTCTGGAGGGGACAGAGAGCCATGAAGACGCTTGGTCCCAGGGGATGAGAGGAATGCTTGGTTTCTGAAGTGTCATGGGAATAAATCAGGCCTACAGCTGGATAGGCCAAAACTTCCTGTTCATAAGGGAGGACATGTGGTAACCTTGACTTTAACCTTGATTGTGATGGAGAAAGGAAGCAGGGGCCTCCCTGGGTAGCAGGAAGGGAGGATGTGGAGGAGGCAGACAGTTGGGGAGGCACAAAGGAGTGAGGCAGCTGTGGCTGGAATGCAGTCAGGAATGCAACACTGACAGTGTTGACAGCTGATGAGGCAAGACGGTGGAGGGCGGTTGAGGGGGAGAGCAAGGAGGGCAAGTCCTGGAAGGTGAACCAGGCAGGCGGGCTGGTGGCCTGGGCTGGGAGGATAGACCTTCATGCCCAGTGACTTGAGGGAGGAGGATGAAGTGCCGGCAGTGGCATTCAGGCTCAGTGGGGGAGGAGGTGTATGATGGCTGTGTTTTCTCAGTGTGTACTGGGGGGCAGGGAAAGGGGGCCCCATTTCCACAATAGCAGCTGAGTGGCCAAGACAGGGAGAGAATTTAGATGGAGCCTTCTGCCTGGCAGGCTCTCCTCCAGGGATTTGCAGCACCCGGGGACAGGCCAGTCACTGGGGCCACTTCTTCCCAGAAGCTCTCCTGGTCTCCCTCTTCTTGATCAGACCTCACCTCGCCTTTCTCCCCCAGATCTGGTGTAGTTAGATGCTCAGTGACCTGCATTGAGACTGAATGGAGCCTTGCCTCCCCCCCAGTCTGGCCTTTGCCCTGGGTGGTACTGCCTGCTGGCAGCCAAGCCCTGTCCACTTCTCATTTGGCAAGAGATGGCTGTCTACAGAGGAGGGCAGCTCCTCCCACACCCAGTGTTGAAGGTGGGGCCCAGGCCCTCCTCTGCTCCTGCTGGGGTTCTGAGCCCCTCGAGAAGACGGGGCAGAGCTGTGAGCAGTGAGGGGAGCTGGAGATGGAGGGGACACGGGAGATCTTGGTCCCTTAAATTGTCACCTTTTCTCCTTTTAGCTTTCCGTCCCTCTTTCTGTTTTTGTGGTAATGAGATTTGAATTCAGGGCTTTGGGCTTGTGAGGCAAGGGCTCTACTGCTTGAGCCACAATTCCAGCCCTTGGTCTTTTAGAAAACTGGCACCCAGGGGGACTGGACTTAATCCATATCTGGTGAAAGCATTTGTAGCCTGATTCTGGTGCCCCTTGGGTGACTTGTGACTCCTTAACAGGCAGGCCTTTGAGGTTCAAACGGGATCATTCTCCCTCCCTCTTCTCCCCCACTTCACCCATGCTGCTCCATCCCTGGCTTTCCCCTCTCCTCTTCCAAGCCCCATCACTGCCTCCCAGGGTCCTTGCCACCTCCTCTCCTAGCCCCCAGATTTTTGAAGAACTTGACTTGCTGGTTTGTTTGATGGCCTAGGTCCCCACGTGAATTCTAGATTCACGGGGTCAGAACTGCAGCTGCCTTGCTCTGTGCCTCCCCAGCACTGAGTGCAGGACCTGCATGTCATAGGTGCCCCATAAATGCTTGTGGAAGGGGGTGGGACATGGTGCCAGAAAGACTGGTTGTGGCTAATAAGTCCACCACAGCACTGAGCATGGGCTCTCAGCAGGCCTCCCCGTGATTTCTCATCCAGTGCCTTCATCATCCTTGGGTGTTACCACTGTGAGGACACAGAGGCTCAGATGGACTAGGTGACTTGGGCAGTGAGGAGGGCATTTGTGGGGTGATCTACCTGTCTTGAATGCCCCCCCCAGCCATTTCCACAGAAGCTTCCTCTCTCACCGCCTGCTAACTGCTCTCTTCTTTTTTTTTTCCTTCTCTTGCAATCCCCAGCTCAGCCTTCAGAGTGCTGGGATTACATGCGTAGCTACCATGCTCTGCTTGTCTCCTACCTATTTTCTGATTTTTTAGGGGTACCTTTATGTAGCCTTTGCTGTGTCCTGTCCCATCTTCCTGGGGTGGTTGTCAGGACTGCTCCACGTGGGGAGCATGTAGTTGAAGGGACCAGGCTGAACCTGGGTGCACAGCTGGCCTTGGACCAGCAGGGGGAGCCGGCAAGCTACAAGTCTGGACCCGTTTTTGTAGAGAAGCTCCTGAGGGGGACTCAGGGTTTCTCTACCTGGTGCAACCAGCCTCCCCGCCCCCGTCCCCCGCCCCCCCAGCAGATAGAAGGTGGAACCTAGGTGGCAGAGCTGAAGTTGGATGAACCAGCCTGGTGGACTCGAGTCTGAGCAGTGGGGGCCTGGCTCCCCATTTACCTGTTGGGTGACCACATCAGCCTCCCAAATCCTGCTCTCCCATCCCTAAAACAGCAGTGTGGTTCACACTGTGAGAGTCCCCAGCTGGCAAGCATCTATGGAGAGCTCTCAGCCAGTGCTGAGAGGATGCTGATAATAGGCTCCAGACCTGCTTGAGCCTGTAGTTCTTTAAGGACAAATGTCATGACTGGTGTGGCGACCAACTCATACGTAACTGATTGAGTGCCTGTGAGCTGCCTGGCTTAGTGTGGGTGAATTTGAGATTATTCTGCAAGAGGCTTCTTAATCCTCCATCTACAAATGGAGAAATAGGGACTCAGAGATGTGCAGATGGCCGGGAAGTAGCTGAGCTGAGTTCTGAACCACAGTCTACAGTGCCTGAGCATGTCCCTCAGCTTTCCTGGGCCTCAGTTTCCCTCCTGAACAAGGAGAGTGGGGTGTGGGTGGGGTGGACAAGATGTTCTGGGTTGCTGGGGCTCCAACATGGATGTGAGGCCTCCCCACAGTGTGCCCTCTGCCCATGGCTATGGGGAGGAGGGACAGGAGGGCTGGCCTGCATGAGGCAGCAGTCTCCAAGAGGGTGGGGAGGCCCTCCTTGCCCACCCTGACTCTCCTGCCCCCCCCCCCTCCCTGCAGCCTTTCTGAAGGGCCTGAGTGACAAGCAGAGGGAGGAGCACTACTTCTGCCAAGACTTCATCAAGCTGAAGAAGATCCCCACATGGAAGGAGATGGCAAAAGGTAGGCTCTGCTCGCCGCTGTTGGTCGGCCCCTTCAGACCCATGGTTTGGGAGACTGCAGACAAGAAGATCCCAGCGACACTGAGTGAGCACCTGCTGTGTGCAGGCACACTACCTGTGTATCCTCATTTAATTATTAACGTAGCCTGAGGGCAGTTCAGTTTTTATCCCTTTGACTCCTTTAGGAAACCAGCCCTAAGCCATGGGAGCCACCTGCCTGATTACTAGGTTATCAGGACTGGAATTTGAAGGCATGGTGAGCTTGCTTGCTTGCAGTGGGTGAGCTGCTCCCAGGCCCTGCAAATGCAGGCCTGGTGACCCGTGAGTCACTTACCCACTTCAGCTTCAGTTTCCATATGTGTTAAATGGCATTGGTGATATCACTACTGTACCTGATGTGAAGGTCCAGGGAGCCTTGTGTTGGCACACAGTAGGTGCTTAGCCAGTGAAGGGTGTTGTTACCAGTACCAGGGATCGAGGTCACCACACTAAAAGCTGCTTTGAAGTGGGGTCTGGCCTGGGCTCTGGCTGGGTCACTTTCAGTGGAAGCACATCGTGTGAACATCCCCGACCCCTTCCTGTTCCAGGGGTAGCTGTGAAGGTGGATGAGCCCAAGTACAAGAAGGACAAGCAGCTGAACGAGAAGATCTCCCTGCTCCGCAGTGACATCACCAAGCTGGAGGTGGATGCCATCATCAATGCTGGTGAGTGGCTGGTTGGAGCCAGAGACTGGGATGGCTGCCTTGTTGCCTTTGCTCTGCTCTGCCATGCCAGGCATGGGTGGGCGCCACCTGGCTCCAGAAGGATTTGAGTACAGGGTGAGGATGTCCTGCTGGCGCCACGGGAGCCCAGCTTGTCGGCTGCTCGGGCTCCTCTTCCCGTGAAGCCCTGACCTGCTGTGTCGGGGCGCCTGGCTCTGCTGAGCTGCCTCGAAGCTCTGAGGCCCATTAGCAGCGGCGAAGCGGGAGAGTGCAGCTGGAACCATGCCGGGTTGCCCTGCCAGGAAGGTGGAGGCCAGAGCCCCATGCATGGCCCATCTTCGGGGGGCTGTGGCTTCTTTCCTTCCTCTGCCTTCTTCCTGCCCTGCCCCCCTGCAGACCTAGCAGGTGTGGGAGTATGTGGAGTGAAGGGTGGACACAGAGCGGCCCCCTGCAGCCCCCTGGCAGCTCTCCAGCGCCTGGAAATGGGAGCCACTCAGCTTCCTGTGTGCGTCCTCCTCTTGCTGGCTTGGCAGTTTCTTGTGATGAGTAGTTGGAGGCAGCTGATGCTCTGGAGGAGGGAGGAAGGTGGCCGCTCCTCCACCCAGGTGCTGATTGTCTGGCTGAGATCAAAAGGCTCTGGAAAGGACTCCGGAGCGCTCCGGGTGGCATCCCAGCCGGTCAAGCCCAGCAGGTGTGGTATACAAGTGCCTTCTGTAACGAGGTTGCGTGGTTGCTGAATCCAAGCCCTTCTCGGTCACTCACCAGGCATCCACAGCAAGCATCTGGGAAAGCAGTGCCCCTTTCTTTGACCCTGTGGACATCGGGAAGATCCTCTTGTCTCGAGCTCCAACTAAAAGGGAAAATCCCACCACACCCTGGGCACCATCAGAAATTTCTGGAATCTTCTTGCCTCACCTTTGGGCTTGCAGCTATGTCTGACCTTACTGCTGACAAGAGAGCACGGGGAGTCAGTGGCTTGGGGACATAGTGGTGCCAATGCTGTCAGTGCTCTCTTGTTCTCCCGAAGTGAGTGGGCTCGCAGGACCTGGGCACGCCCCATGCCTGCTTGTTTGTGGTCTGGCAGTGGCCTTGCTCTGCGTGTCTCATGTCTTCCTGCCGGTGTTCGCTGAACTCTATAGTCACACTGGTGTTTTCGTAACTGCATAGGATTGTGCCCTTTCCTCCACCTTGTCTGTCCCAGGAACACAAGTGAAAGGCCACATGGCGAGGGTAGGGGAACACAGAGAACTCAGTCATCTTTGGCTTTCTGCTGGTGGTTCTGCCGTGTCACCTTGGACCACTGGCACTGGTGGGTGGCGGTGAGGTCACATCTGGATTGCTAGACACCATGGCGGCCCAGGAGGGTAGGGTGTTTTTTTGTCTGTGCCAGGAGGGCTGACTGAGGGGCAGTCACAAAGGCCCACGAGGCTGCCATGCCTCGTGCCTGGCCGTCTCTGGCCAGGGTACAGGGGGCACCCAGTTGCTACTTTTCCTGCAGAGCTGCAAAGTGGCTAGAGGAAACAGCTCTGTCTCTCTAGCGTCTGGGCAGCCTGATGGTGCTTGCCGCAATGTGGCCCACGGTGGGACACAGGGTCCAAGGTGGACAGCACATGGTGGGGTGGGGCTCTGGAGACCTTGGTAGGATTCCTGGCTCTTCCTAAGTGCCCTGTGACCAGCCAGCCATGCAGTGGTCCCGTCAGCTCCTAGCTGGAAGCACTTTGATGCTGGCTGAGTAGGCTACATGGGCTGGGCGGCCACACTTGCTTCTCTCTGTACCTGCCTGGCCTGTTTCCTCTGCACAGCCGGGATGGTGGGACGACACCCACTGGGCTGTTGGGGGTACACTCACCACCTGCCACAGGAGCTGAGGTGCTAGAACTGATGCTCTCAGCCCTGTCCCAGCCGTGCCACGGACTCGGCACGCCCGCAGATGATCAGCTTTCACTCTTCCTGCTCTCTTCAGTTTACTCAACACCTCTTGCTGTGTTTTCCTGAGGTCTCCTTTTTCTAGAAAGAGTTTCAGCCAGAAGGACCCAGAACCTTCCTGGAAATGGCCAAAGCGGGCCTTAGCCACGGGGTTGCCACACAGAGCCTGAGTCCCAGGTGTTCAGGACAGACTTGGCCCTGCTCAGACCTTGGAATCCTCAGTGGCCATGACTGCTGCCCTTCCCCAGGGATCCCTGTCGTGTGGCTCCACCCCTGCCCCGCCGCCCACCAGGGGGCAGCAGAGATCCAGGTTCCCGCGGAGCAGTAAATCAGCCTGTTTATTAGCGGAATAAAAGTCTTGGGCAACACGGGGCTTTTCAGGGCTGCATAAATCTGCGTCTGTGCCTCGTGAAACCCATATGTGCTTAATTCATATGTAAAGTTTCAAGCAGGAAGAGAATACGTGTCCATTAAATTCTATTTGACTTGATTATAATCATTAGCCGTGAATAATTGCTTCCCAGCGAAGACCACAGAGCCACCACAATAGGCAAGAGGAGAGAGCAATTATCTTGGGGTGGGAATTTTTAAATTTTTATTTTTGAAGGCAGGGGCAGGGCTGGCCCGGCAGGTATGTGGTGGCCCATGGAGAGCAGTTTGAGCCGGAAGGGGCTGGGGGCTTGAGGTCAGGCCAGAGTTTCGGGATTTCCTGAGTGGGGGGGGGTCTCTTTTTGTCCCTGCTGCCAGATGGGGAGGGGTGTTTCCATCTGCGCCTTGGTCCAGCTGCAGCGACGTGGATGGGGAGGGATGGGGGGAGCTTGGGAGAGCCTGTGAGAGAAAGGGGGGTGTGGCCACTCAGACCCCTCATCCTGAGAAGCTGTGTGTGTAGGGGTCTCCAGCCAGGTGGTGGGCAGCTCCTTGACCAGAGGATTCTTAGAGAGAGCAGGGGTCAGGTCCCTCCCTGCCTCCCACCTCACTCCTTCCCCTGCTCACAGACATCTCTGCTCATGGCCTTTGAAAAGGCCTGGCATTTGAAGTCTAGGACTGGTTTTTACCCCCACCTTACTGGCATTTGTGATGTGATCGGGGTGTGTGATGGTGGGTGGCTGTGTGAAGGGGTGGGTGTGTGTGGCATGGTGTGTGCTATACAGTATGTGGGCATAGTGAAAGGACTGGGACACAGGACAGAAGGGGAAAGCCTGCCTGGTGAGTAGCAGGACTTGAGGTCACAGGGACAGGACAAACCCATGAAGCGCCCCCCCCCACCAACACTGCCCCATGGGCTGGTGGCCAAGGCCACTTGCTGGGCAGTGCCCCGGAGAGTCTCAGGCTCCTGCCATCTGTGCCAGCCATGGTTCCTGCCCACAAGGGCACACGGCATCCATCTCAATTAGATTGGGCTGCCACGCTGGCGAGATAAGCCAGGAGCTCCCGCGGCCTCCGCTCTGGAATGAGAGATTCTGGGGGCAGTGCCTGTCCCTCCAGCTTGGCCTCTGACTCCCAGGGCTGTGTCTGGGGAGAATTCAGGTCTTAGGGTCTCCACCCAGGGGTTTCTGTGACATCCAGAGTGTTCATATCTTTTCTCTGCTGCAGGGGCGTGACCTTGACTGGGCCATCCTCTTGCCTTGAGAGTCTTGCTGAGCCGGCCTGAGCCTGTGGACCCTTGTTCTGACAGCTGACTCCCAGGCAGGAAATGTCTGGGCACAAAGAAAGACCCCTATTTTCAGCTGAGTGCCATTGGCCCACGCCTGTAATCCTAGCTACTTGGGAGGCAGAGACAGGAGGATTGCGATTTGAAGCCAGCCCAGGCAAATTGTTCATGAGACCATATCTTACAAATACCCAACACAAATCAGGGATGGCCAAGTGGCTCAAGCAGTAAGAGTACCTGCCTACCAAGTGTGGGGCCCTGAGTCAAACCCCAGTATCATTAAAGAAAGAAAGAAAGAAAGACCCCTATTCCCAGCCAGCCCAGGGGTCTGGAGACCCGGCATGGGCCTTGGGGCACAGGTGACACAGTGCTTTGCGCAAAGGGCTGCTTCCCTGCAAAGTAGGCCCAGGCTGCCACATGGCGTTGGTGAACACAGAGGCCAGGCCAGGTGGGTTGTGATCCCATTTGGGAAATGGCATCATCCTCAGCCCCTTCCCGAGTGGGTGTGCAGGCAACACGTGTTTAGAGCCATCCAGCGCTGGGCCCGGGCTGGCCCGTAGAGATCCCCAGTAAATGAATACTGGGGATGTCAGGAGCGAGAGCAGCTAAGTAGACTGTAATGTGACAAAGCCCCGGAAGGAAGAGCAGTCTGAATAAAGTGTGTGCGATGCCGCAGGGACCAATTAATTCTGCAAGGAGGTGGCGGGAAGCGAGGTGGGTTGGGGATGCTTTTGAGGGGCCTGAGCATGGGGCTGGGCCATGAAGATTGGGTGGAAAGCCATGTTTCACAGCGACAAGCTGGCCACACAGGGGACTTTTAAGCCTCTTATTTGTTTAAAATAAGGCACAAGTGGTGCTCTGTTTTCTTAAGTCTTGGGGCTTTGATTTGTGAAAATCCACCAGCCTCTTAACCGTGTCCGCCTCTGAGCCCTTGCAAGTCCTTCATCCATTCCAGCCCAGCATGGCAAGGAGCAGGCTGGGACACAGAGAGGCTACTGGAGTGCCCGCCCCACTCCTGGCTGTCCCTGGCCATGGCTGGACTCAGTGATTTAGAGACCGCCTTGATGGACTAGCAAGCAGGGGACCGCAGGGACGCCGACTGCCTGGTGGGAAGTGATCTGATGCTAAACTGTCACCATAAATCGCTTTATCTGTCACTTCAGATTTAAATGCGTTTGCTGAGGCTTGCGGCTGCCGACAACCAAAACACAGCACAGCAGCAGAGGCGGCACCAGCATGAGTGGAGCCAGCCCGGCCACCATGGCCACCTCACCTGCTGTATAGGACCCTGCTAGCAGCAGAACCTGAGGGCCTGGCCTGGGCTCCTCCTCTTTAGGGGATGGGCCCTTCTCTGCCTGACCCTGATCACTGTTAACCAGTGGGGTAATCCATCTTATGATCCCCGAGAGGCAGCGGATAGTCACCCCATTTCAGTGATCAACCCAAACTGAGGTGCACATGTTGAAAGACAATGTGTCCTACCTGGACAGGTGACTGAGCCAGAACTAGAACTCATGGCCTTTAGATCATCTGGCAAGCTCGGGTGGTGGGCCCACACGGCACCAGGTGTGGACGTCAGTGTGGGCTACAAAACACACATTCTCTAATCCCAAATAAGGAGAGAGATGTATGAATAGGGAGAAAGCAAAGAGGACAAGGGATGGATGTCCCATCTGCTGGGGCCTGCATGAGGCAATCTGGAAGGCTGCCTGGAGGAGGGGTAGTTGAGTTGGAGTGGGGGCTGAGTTGGGAACTGGCAAGGCCATTTTAGAGCACTGGCTGGGAGGGGCATTGGGTGGGGTGACTAGGTAAGCTCGGGGGGCTCAGGCTGTGCTGTGTCTGGGTCCTGAGTTGTGGGGCCTTTGTTGGATGTATTGTAGATTTCACTTACGCTGCTGTATGGAGGACGGGTGGTGGGTGGGGTTGCCATGGTAAGGCCACGGGTTGGTGCCAGGGTCTCTCTCCAGGTCTCAGCTGTGCTCACACCCTGTATGCCTCTCCTGCACCATTATGTCAGCCACACTGTGCCAACGGGAGACTGAGGCTCAGACATAAGAAGCAACTTGCTTAAGGTCTCACAGCTACATAGTGGCAGAGCTGGGTGGCAGATTTGCCAGCCTTCAGAGCCCCCAGGAAATTGTCTCACGAACTATTTGCCCAGGTTGGCTTCAAACTGCAATCCTCCCGAGTAACTAGGATTACAGGCGTGAGCCACTGGTGTCCGACTTGTCTGCCTGTTTTGGGCTGGGCTGGGCTAGAGTGGAAACACATCCTCTTTGTTCCCTTTTATCTAGTTGAAAATTTTGGTGCCCAGAATGGGTGCCTCACTCTCTGTCCTTGCTGCTTGGAGGCCAAGTGGGCAAGAGGCAGGCAGGTGTTTCCCTGGGACCAGCATCTGGATCCTCATGCGGTCCCATGGTGGGCTCCAGCTGCCCCCTGTGTTCTGAACCCCGACCTGTGCTGAGAGCCTCCCATCACCTGCACTTGATGCTGAGTGCTTTCCAGCGCACGCTTCACCTTGTCTCTCAGGCTGGTGCTGTTCTCCTCCACCTTACAAACGAGCAGACTGAGGCTTCCACAGGGCCACAGCACTGGGTAAAAGGCAGGACCAGGAATCAAACCCTAATCTTTTGTACCAGGGATAGCAGAGATAAGCCAGTTTATCTTTTCACCTGTCTGGTCTAGGTTCAGCCTAGAGTGAGGGCAGGGCAGGCCGGGGAGGCCGGTTGGGAGGGCTAGGGTCCAGGCAGCTGCCTCCTGATGATAAGAAGCCTAGAACAACCAGAGCTGCCGAGCCCTGGTTTCCCCCACTTCCAGAGCAGGTGGCTCACTTCCACAAGGTCGAGCCGTGGTTACATAAATTCATAAATGATGGATCCCTGCTGAATTATTAAGACTCCCTCCTGGGCCTGCAGAGTCTGGTCCAGTGAGCTGAGCAGCAGTGGGCAGGACTCCCAGTGGGTCTTGGAAGGTCCTTTCCACTCCAAGTGCTCATCTACCAGAGCCTTCCTGTCATTTCCACGGGGAATGTGAGGGAGGCCCATGGGCTTTGGGCCCACAAATTCTGACTTGGGTTTCAACCAATGTTTGTTGAATGAATATGTGACCAAAAGCCTTTGCGAGTTGGTCAGATGGCAAGAGGACTGCATGAACTGGTGGCCTGCTCTGTGGCCTCTTTCTGCCCCAGCCCAGGCCCCAGCCCCATTTCCCTGTCTGGGCTAGAAGGGGCTGATTGGTTTCACAGTTGAGGACAATGACAGACATTTATGGGTCCTTCCTGAGGCCCTCAATCTTCCTGGCTTCTTGCAAGGCTGTGAAGGGTACAAGGCTCAGTGTGACCTCGAACCTGCCCTCATGGTACGTACAGTTCTGTAGAGAAGGCAAAACAGTACCTCCAGCCCAGAGAAGTCACACAGGGTCACACAGCAGGAAAATTAGGCAAAGCAGAGCTTCAAACCCAGGCCTCCTGACTCCCAGCTCCAGACCCTTCTCCTTGATCCCTTTCTTCCCATCATGACAGACTTGTGCTGGAAAACGCTAGCATCCAGTGCCTGGAGTGCCCTCTCTCCAGCGACTCTTGTCCTTGAGGCTGCCTGGTCTCAGTGCCCACACCTGTGTGCCTGCTGTGTCCCTGCCGTGCTGTCCCAGCACTGAGCTGTGGAGGCCGGAGCTTGTGGGAATGTGTGTGTTTTGAAATTAATGGGGACCATTAAATTGGCCAAGCATGAAAGGGTAGTGCCGTGGCCCTTGGCTTGCTCTGCTGGAAGGATCTGCCAGAGCCTCACACGGCTTCCCAGGGGGCTGTGCTGCGGCCCGTTTAATGGATGGGCACTCTGTGTTCCTAGGAGACAGAAGGTCAGATCACAGCAGCCTGTGGCAGTGTGGACCCCCTCCCCAAGGACCAGCAGCCTCTGTCCTTCCTCTCGCCACCACCTCAGTGTAGACAGTGGCTTTCGTGGACATGTTGAACAGAATCCTCTTCCCATACCCAAGGGTGGGCTCCCACACACTCCATACCCTGATCTGGGCTTCCTGGGTGAGTTGTGGCCCAGCCTCAGGAACACAGTTCAGATTCAGGGGACCCAGGCCCTGGCTTCTTCCTTACTTCCCACACCACCTACTGTGAACTCTCTATGGTGGGAGTCAGTCCTGAGTATGGGTTCCGGTTTCCCTGCGTGCTGGCTGTGTGCCTTGGGCAAGTCACTTAGCCTCTCTGAGCCTCTAATTGCTTGTCTGTAAAAGGCAGATGAACATGCTGTAGGATCCATTCCCTAGAGCTGTAAGTTTAGAAAGTGATGGTTTGCATAAAATGCCTAGCACCCACCCGTGTCCTTTACAGAGCAGGCTCTGGACATCAGTTTCCATTCTCACTGTCCCTGTCCTGTGTCCGAGGGCGGCTCAGACCTGCTGAACCGTTGCTGCTCCACCCCCAGCACTCGCTGGAGCTGGGGGCAGAATCATGGCCTCCCCAAGCAGGCTGGGGGCTCCTCCCCCTGAGGGGGGATACGGGGTGGCTGAGGGGACGTTGAGGGTTTCCTGGCAGGGCAGGCAGGCAGGCTGGCAGGCTGACCCCTCTTCCATGCTGGCATTTCAGAATTTTCCTTTTGGAGCTGCCTTGCTTGGGCCTTGATGGTCCTCAGGCTCTGGCAGCCATGGCAGATGGCATCATTGTGGCCCCCTCCTGCCCATAGTCTCCACTTGTCACTTATCCAAGGTGCAGCTTGCCCTGGGGTCAAGGGAAGTCCCTGGTGGTGGGCATGGGCCAGCCTGGGATGCCTCTGACTGCTCATAAGACAGCCCGTCACGCTGAAGTGGTTCTGCCATTACTTCGAGCAGGAGCTTCTTCTCCAGGCCTCAGTTTCCCCATGTGTGCCTCCAGGAATTAGGAGGAAAGAAAGAAGTCCCTTGGATGCCCAGGGCACTGGAGGCTCATAAGTGGGAGTTGTACTACCGGAGAAGTGGTCACTCCCCCTCCCGCTAGACCAGGACCCTGTGAGGGCAGGGGCAGGTCCCCTGGCTCCATGTCTTCTCAGACTGGTGTCTCCTGGGTGCCCATTGTGGTGGAGGCAGCCCGGGCTGGCTGCACTTGAAGGACAGGGATGTGTAGAAACAGTGAACCCCCAAGACTGGGACCCTCGGGTGGACGCCAGCTGCCCTCAGCATGCAGCGTGGGGACTTTCGCCTACT